TGGATGGTTACTCGGTTCCATTGTGCTATCTGCTCTTGCTTTGACTACTTGGACTTCAGTGTGATTTTGCAATCTGGATTTCTGTGCTTCGTCCACATTCATGTTCCTTGCATTTTGGTATCGTAGCTGGTTTGATTCGCCACTTACCTTCGTGCGCTGGCGTTATACAGACTTGGTGCGTTGACGATGCTTCTTCGCAGTTGGTTCTTGTGAGGTCAGGCCATACTAGGGGAACGACCTGGGTAGAGAGGTGTGCGCCGGAAGGCTAAGACGACATTGATTGCCGTGGTGACAGGCGGAATGTATGATTGGTGATGAGAGCATGCTGATGTGGCATTACGCTGAGGTGGCACTGCATTGCGTTGTGGGTGGTACCGAGGCTCAGACCGATCATCAAATGCACACTCAGCTCAATTGGTGAGAAATCTGTGGTTGGGGGCAGCTATCTCCAGGTACGTTGTTCCCTTACCTTGTCTACTCTCTCAATCTCTTCTTACCGCGAGGAAGTGAGTCCAACTTGAGAGTCCTCTCTTTTGGTGAGGTGTCGTGTGCGCGCTACCTTGAGAGACGACAATCTTCCCGGAAGCATTTGGAAGGAGAAAGGGCGGTGCCTCTGAAGGGCCCTGGTCGAAGCACTGGGTCACGGTCACCATGCCAACCCAATGGGAGTAGGTCACGCATGCGATGGCTGTTGTCGATTTTGGCACTTTGCTGTGCTGTAGAAGTCCTGCCGGGTGTGCCAGCCTTTTATGAGACGCTTACCAGACCGTCTAAAACATTTCTGGTTGGGGACTTGGATTGAATCTGGCTGTGATCGTCTTCCTGACTACGACGTTAAATAATTCCTGAGGAGATGGGGGCACTCCTAAAATTCCTCCTGATCAGCCAGATCAACCGGGTAGGAAGGCTCGTTCCGTACGGGGGTAAATAAGCGTGGACTGGCTGGCTTGCTCGGCAACGACTTGGGCACAGGGGTGGGCCGACAACACACACGAAGACACCGCTGCTCATTGATGCTATTCGGCATGTTGGATTGAGGGGAGGGTAGGTTCTAATTGATGCTCAACTGGAAACACAACCATACCCACTGTTCATACATCTGCAACATAGTTTTGTTTTTATTATTAGTTGGTTGACAACTTCTAACACCTCACAGACAGATAAGAGTAGGACTGTTGTATACTACCATAGCCAGTTCTATCTAATGCTGCTGTAAGTGAACTAATCACAGTAGAGCTGAACTATGTTGACAATCTGTTGTGAATGTTGTAGGCTGCCACTTCATCGGTAAAGTAGGGGACCTGTCGGACACAATTAGTTTTAGAAAATTAGGTGCCGGTCAGACACATGCTGCGGTAGGACTCCAGGAGGGGGTTGTAGTGCAGACAGTGTTTGCCTAACTGATGAGTGGGTCAGACACCGATGAGGGTAGAGTTGACAACAGGAGACTAACACGTTCGAGGGCACTTAGGGTCCCGCACGTGTTCCAGGCCTTACAATTGGAAGAAGAAAGACGGCTTCGTGCCGAACGAAGAGCCTGTGCTCTTGCAGCAGCGTTGACAGCAGCAAACGAAGCAGCTAGAGAGCAGGCAGCAGCAGCCAGAGCAGCAGCAATGACTAATGGTGCAGGCTCTGCTGCATCCTCGCCTGGGACCCATTTGGGAATGCCCCTTGGGCCCACGGGTACTTCCGGTTCAATGAGTTCTGGTCAGTCTACTAATCAAATGGTGGGCTCGCGGTTAAGCCCATTGACCCCACGCGGCAGGGAGCTCTTAGAGCTCCAACAGGTCGAAAGGATCCACGAGCGGTTAGAGAGGGAATTACAAATAGAACAGCCGGGCTTGATACGTTAGAGGCAGACAAGGCTGCGTTAGAGGGTTTGGATGAGTCAGCAATGTCTGACCAACTAAAGATATTGAAGAACAATATGTTGTCGTTGCATGCGGACGTGGACAGCAGATTGGACTTTATGCAGAACTCTCTAGACCAGATCTTGGATCTGTTGCAAAGGTCAGGATATAGGCCAGCAGCACAGTCGCCGTTGCCGTTAACGGCGAGGTCAGGCCCCTTTCCTATACAAGCTGGCACACAACCAAGTGGCACGTCTGCAGCAGCAGCACAGACTGATGTTTCTTCTTCTTCTGGGTCAGCGATGGTAGCTACACCACCGCAACAACTTGTTCCTCAACAGGGACAGCAGCAAGGTCAGTGGTACCCGAAGACCCTTATGAAACCGCCCCTTGCCTTCTTCGAAGAGAAGAAGGACGAGGAACTCAACACATGGTTGAGAACGGTTCCAGTATGGGTCAAGGAGAACAGGACTTTGCAGGAGGAGGAGGTGATTACTGCTGCATCTTACTTCGAGGGTAAGGCAACCAAATGGCTGGATGGTTTAGTTTCAAAGGTCGGGCACGGATGATGCATGGCGGACTGGGCTAAGATCATTACCTTAGACCAGTTCTTAGAAATGGTTGAAGCTCGTTGGCACAATCCACAGCAGGCACAAATTGCCACTGATGCGATAAACAGACTAGACCAAAGAAAGTTCAAGTCAATCAGGGAGCTTACGACTATCGTAGAGAGCCTCATCGTTGTCCCCGGCATAAACTACGACGACCAGTTCTTGCTGACCACGTTTGTGAGATGTCTCCCAGAGAATCTCAGAAATCTGCTGGCCAGCGAGGCTCGCCTTGAGTATCACTCATTTGAGACTTTATCTAGGAAAGCCTTGGACTTAGAGGCCACCCTAGGAAGTGCTCAACCTACCTCAGTAGACGCGAAGAAGAAGAGAGTCCACAGGAATGGAAGAAGAAGGGGGCTAAATTGATGATGGTTGAGTTCGATGGGACTCAAACAGAGATCGAAGAGCTCATCGACCTGTTGGACGTTTCAGAGTACGACGGCGGGGAGAATGCTGAGGGTAGCACCCTCGCAGCAGTAGTTAAGGCTAAGGCTGGTGGCCGAGCGAAGGGCCATCAAAAGAGTCAAGGGAAGGCCGCCTCCAATCAGACCAAAGTTGCTGATTGGGTCAAGGCAGGTCTTGATCAAGAAGTGTGGCGGGACCGCCGAGTGCGTGGCGCTTGTATTAACTGTGGTGAATACGGACACACCCAGTACAAGTGCCAGAACGCAAAGGTCACGCAGAAGATACCTCCTAAGATGGGGGCACCTTCTTCCCAGGCTTCTAGCTCGGAAAACACTTGAGGCCGGTGGAAGTTTTAGCTGCTTCTACTTATGGTGAAGTGGGCCAGATACCCTCCCCACTTCATGAGATGGCCATAACTAACGACTCTTTAGTCACCCCGCAGACTCATCCAGACCAAACTATGCTCTGTACGTTGGATGTGTCTGAAGCCTTAGAAGATCTGGAAAGCGAGTGGTCAAACAAGGACCCTCGTGAATCTTGGGTGGCACTAGGGAAAGGTCCTAGAGGGGAACATTTCGTGGTGGAAGTTGATGTAGGAGGCCGCAAATGTGGTGCCTTCATAGACATTGGCTCCACGCGGAATTACATAAGTCGTGACTGTTTGGAAAGGCTGCACCTAAAGGACCGGGTACAGCACCTTAGTAGACCCGTAGCATCTACTTTGGCCAATAAGGAGCGCATGATTGTCACAGACTATATCAATGATGTAGTCTACACCTTCTCCTATGGAGGAGGGGAACTTAATCATAAGATTTCGTTCCTGTTTAGCGACGACTTGCCATTCGACATGTTGTTAGGCATGTACTACCTTGAGGTTGTCAAGCCCCAGTTTGACTGGGACAAGAAGGTGCTAAAACATAAGTTGCCTGATGACAGAACAGTTTGGTTCCATGATCTGTTCACGGAGCCTACAGGAGTCGTAGAGAGGGAGATCATCCATGCCATAGAAATCATTCCAGGGAGTAAAACCCCAAAGGGAGGGATCTATAGGATGGCTCCGGCCGAGTTGGATGAACTTCGACGACAACTGAAAGAGCTGACAGAGAAGGGATGGATCCGACCAAGTACTTCCCCTTACAGATCGCCAGTACTATTTTTACCACAGAAGAGGGGTACATTGAGGATGTGCATTGGTTATAGAGGCCTCAATGCCATCACTGTAAAGAACGCAGAGCCTCTACCTCGCATAGACGACCTATTGGATACGGTGCGGGGATGCAAGTACTATAGCAAGATAGATTTAAAATCCAGCTACCATCAGATCGCAATAAGACCTGAGGATGAGCACAAGACTGCATTTCAAATGGTCTTTATGAGTTTGTTGTGATACCTTTTGGCCTTTGTAACGCGCCGGGTACATTCCAACACGCTATGAATAGGATCTTTCATGACCACTTAGATAAGTTTGTCGTTGTCTACTTGGACGATATTCTTATCTTTAGTAAGTCCGTCGAAGAGCATGCACAACACGTTGAGACTGTACTCTCACTCTTGCGACAACACAAGTATAAGGTCAACCTAGAGAAGTGTGAGTTCGGACGAACTAAGATCTTATACTTGGGTCATGAAGTATCCGCGGAAGGGATTAGGCCGGAAGATGCGAAGGTGGCTAGTATAAGGGACTAGCCACGACCTCAGACAGTTACTGAGGTCAGATCTTTCTTAGGAATGTGCGGCTATTATAGGAACTTTGTGAAAAATTATTCCACAGCCGCCTCTCCTTTGACAGATCTAACTCGACTTGACACGCCGTGGGACTGGAGTGATGAGTGCGAGGCTGTTTTCAAACGATTGAAGCATGCACTCATGAATCATGAGGTTCTCATGGTGCCCGATCCTCAGAAGCTTTTCATTGTAAACACTGACGCAAGCCAATACGGCATTGGCGCAGTGCTGGCTCAACAGAATGGGAAGAAGTTGAGACCGATTGAGTACATGAGCAAGAAAATGCCATCAAAGAAAATGGCAAAGTCCACCTACGAAAGGGAACTCTATGCTCTTTACAAGGCCCTTGTCCATTGGAGGCATTTCCTGTTGGGACGGTTTTTCTACTTGAGAACCGACCATCAAACCCTCAAATGGATCAAGACTCAACCGGCTCTCTCTGATGCACTCAAGCGATGGATTGAGGTCATAGATCAATATGACTTCAAGCTAGAGTATCTGAAGGGAGAGTACAACAAGGTTGCAGATGCGCTGTCCCGTAGAGCAGACTACCTAGGGGCGCTAGTTTCTGAGTTAGGTGTAGGCAAAAGACAAGGCCACGGAAAGTGACTTTGTGATGGTGGATGGGTTACTCTTTCTTTATAAGGCCGGGTGTAAAAGGTTAGTAGTTCCATCGAGTGAGAGTTTACGTAGTTTATTTCTAGGGGAATGTCACGACGCAATTGGACACTTCGGCTACAAAAAGACGAGTGCCAATCTAGTAAAGCGATTTTGGTGGCCTGGAATACTAGATGACGCAAAGAAGTATTTAGAGACCTGTCAGGTCTGTCTGCGGGACAAGCCGCGAACTCAAGCACCGCTTGGGTTGCTGAAGCCCTTACCTATCCCCGCTGGTCCAGGACAGAGTGTTTCCATGGATTTCATGGACACCCTGGTGACCAGTAAGAGTGGCAAGAGGCACATCTTCGTCATCATCGATCGATTCACCAAGTACGCTAGAGTAGTTGCCATGCTAGAGACCGCAAGAACTGACCATGTCATCAAGTTGTTATGGACAACTGGGTGCGTGACTTTGGATTACCAAAGTCAATCGTTAGTGACAGAGATGTCTGATTCACAAGTGAGCTGTGGAAGAAGACCGCTGAGCAGATGGGCAGTCAACTTCAAATGACTTCACGGAATGATCCCGAAGCCAATGGGCAAGCCGAACAGATGAACCGAGTTGTACAACACTTGCTGAGGCATTACATCAAGCCCAGCCAGGATGACTGGGATGAGAAGTTGCCTCTCATCGCCAACCTGTACAACAACGTTGTACACAGCAGCACCGGCGTCAGTCCTAATCAGCTGCACTTGGGATGGAAGCCTATATCAGCTCTAGACTTCCTCCTACCTGAAAACCGATCCTCTGCAACTCTGGGCACACTTGAGTATGGTGTGCAGTATGAGAAGTTGCTGAAGCAAGCTGTCGAGCACATCAAGAAAGCTCAGCAAGCAATGATTGCTTCTGAGAACAAACACCGTCGGCAGTCCTCATTTCAGGTAGGGGAACGTGTTTGGGTCAAGGCTAGTGAGCTAGGACAGGAATTCGGTATCTCTAGAAAACTAATGCCTCAGTATTTTGGTCCCTGGGAAGTCTTGGATATAGTGGGGGATGAGATGGATGGTCCTACCTATGTTATCCGTATCCCTGGACACCTACGCACTCACCCTGTCTTTCATGCCTCAAAGCTTGCACCTTTCRCTGAGACAGATCAATTCCCTTCAAGGASRTCGMTGYTGCCCCCAACCATGGATGGTCAAGTGGACATCGACGATATTGTGGATCACAGAGATCTGCCTGTTCAGAAGCCATTGGGTAGAGGAAGACCTCCAAAACCCAAACGGGAGTATCGCGTCAGATTCAGGCATCATACAGATCCAAAGGAAGATTGATGGTTCACCGGAGAGGAACTGATTGACACAGCTCCTCAAGTGGTGGCAGAATATGAGAGAATGTTAAAAGGGAAGGCACCTGCGAAGTAAGCATCTCAGCGGACTTTCGAAGCTAAGGGGGATGGAATGTGAGGATTGAGCCCTCAAGAAGGGGCCTTGCCATGATGTACATGTTCTGGGCTAAGGCCCCAGCAAGCCTAGTGCCCACCCTAAGTGAAGGCGGGCCAGCAAATCAACAAGAGCCCTCTGTGCAAACATTTCACGAAGTTGGGTCCATACAGTTGCAACACGCCAGTTGGATGGAGTGCACCGAGTATCGGAGCTCTGCAAATGCAGAAACCCAGGGCCCCAGAGTTGGTTAGGCCCTGGGCACATGAACAAGAGGCCGACAATGCATGCTGGATATAGAGGCCGAAAATGCCAATGGGAAACCGGTCCACTATTTGAATCTGGCCGCAGGCCTTGATGAAAGAGGCGCAACTGCATCTCCTGGGCCCCAACCGCATCGGGTCTGGGTTCAGGTACTGGGGCCCAGGCACAGGCTCAAGGGAGGCCGCCCACACGCAACACTGGCATATAGGCAGGGAGGGCGAGTGGGCAGGGATCTTGGCCATTGCGGGCAATGCCGGCACGCTGCGCAAATGTGAGCTGCTGTGCAGCGCTAGGCTGAGGTAGAAGCAGGCTGCGCTGGCGGTAGAGCGCTGCCTGGGCGCATGGCGCTGGCGGCCATAGCTGGGCTGCCTGAGGGCGCAAAGGAGGTGAAGGGCGAAGGTGGTTCTTGGGAGGTGAAGGGCGAAGGTGGTTCTTGGGAGGTGAAGGGCGCTGTGTGGGATAACAAGGGAGAGTGAGGGTGAAGAGTGGGACGTACCTGGTGGAAGAGGAAGTCAGCATTGGTGTTGACATCATCACTCGCTGGTCGTCAAGTTGTCTGGTTGCTTTCATGCTGTAGTTGTAGTAATAGGCTGTAGAGTAGGTAGGGCGCCAGGCTCCATTCAAGAGAGAGAGCTACACTGGGTTATGCTGTTGGTGTTGCCCGATTGGGCTTGGACATTGACTCACGATTCTTTTGTATCGTTCTCAATCTGGATGGTTACTCGGTTCCATTGTGCTATCTGCTCTTGCTTTGACTACTTGGACTTCAGTGTGATTTTGCAATCTGGATTTNTATCGTTCTCAATCTGGATGGTTACTCGGTTCCATTGTGCTATCTGCTCTTGCTTTGACTACTTGGACTTCAGTGTGATTTTGCAATCTGGATTTTTGTGCTTCGTCCACATTCATGTTCCTTGCAAAGAGGAGCAGGAGGTAGAAGAAGAAGAAGAAGAAGAAGAAGAAGAAGAAGCGGAGGACGGTTGTGTCTAACGGGCGAGGAGAGTGACCACGAAGAAGAAGAAGAAGAAGAAGAAGAAGAAACAAACCTGGGGGGCGGCTCGTTGGCAGGGGGCGTGATGGCGCCGCTGGCTGGCGTCCAGTCTGTTGATGGCGATACTGCACCCCGTGGAGGCCTACAGACGATGGCGCGGCTGCACCGAGCGATTGCACGGCTGCTTGGCGGTGGCGACGATGGCACGGCCGGCTGTTGGAGGCGACGACGGAGTGGAGCGGCTGCACGGACCAGAGGTGAGCGGGGTTGAACGCGCGATGTGTTTTCCCCCGCTGCACGATTGGTTTCCCGCCAGATCGTATTCAAAAAAGTGGCCGATCTTTGCCGCTGATCTGCAACGATCGGCGGCCAAGATTGGCCACTTTTTGGAGTTCGAAAACACGGGCCTACACGACCCGGTTTCGTTATTGCGGGGCAGGGCCCGCCCCCACGAGGCCTCCTTTACGTGTACGCGCCGCCAAAAAAAAAAATTCAGGCCCCAGCAAAAATGCGCTGGGGGCGAACGGTAGGGAACCGGCCCGGGCCACCGGCTGGTCCGACCGGGAGGACCGCGGATGTGGTAGGGGTCCCCGGTCCATCTGGGGACCAGCCCTGACCACAATTGATATAGGATGTTGATGCAGCACTGCTCTGCTGGCGTATGTCATGATGACGAGTTTGACGTACCATGATCGTAACCAGCTCCAATATTAGTGAGAGTTTAGCAATGTTCATCTAATCACCAACTCAAATTCACTTGCTCACATGAAATAGATGATTGGCCAACTGGCGTATCTCAGTTGTTGCACCCTTGAACTGTTGAAATACAGACCTGACCTCGAACTTCACTAGCAGATGAGTAAAATACTACAATTCTGAATTATGTAATGAACCTCTTAGTTCAACACCAGTGAGCGCACATATTCACACCACATGCATGTATGAGATCACACGAAGTTCACACTTGAGACCAGAGAGATTAAGACCAGGTAGCGCAGCTTATGAATTCCAACAAGTTATAAAAGAGCAATAAGAGTTCAAGTCACCAGTGCTCATCAGCACAAACCAAAGGTACCAGTAACCAGCATAAGCCCTCAGGTAAGTATCTCTTCCCCACTCCTCCTCTCTTATGTATCTCTCCTCCTTGCTGGTCTTCTCCCTAGCTATGTCCTCGCTGTGCCTTCTCTCCCTACATGCGTGCACACTCGCTAACAACTCGAAGATCTACTCTGAATACACCCACTGAAATGTCTACTAACCCTCTATAGCGCAGCACTCTGGCTTCAGCGCTCTGCCCCTCACAATAGCGCACAAGTGCACCAGCACTTCCACACTTCATGCGAATGAGCCATCTGCCCGAATGGTAGGCTGGCCAGTCCTTTTGTAGTCTTGGATTGCACTTCAACTCGTGCCAGCCTCTGCTCCTGGGGCCTGACTGGGTTCCGGTACCACATCCCCATGGCCTGTCTGCTTCTGAACGTCAAGGCCTGGAACCTTCCCATGTTTCCATCTGCTGCTGCTTGGCCCTTTGAGTCGTGACTTTTCGATTCTGGTATGGTTTTTGACTGTGGTCTGTGACTCCTGCCTCTGATACATGACTCTTGCCTGTGGAACTGCCCTTTTACTCGTGGGATCTTCAATATGACTTTTCATTATGAGACGTTACTTTTGCACTTAAGATGTGACTGTTTGCTGGGTGCCTGTTGGACGGGACTGCTGAGGTACCTGACTGGGACTTTTCTGAATTTGACGAACTCTGCCTTTCTTGACCAGGGCCTCTGACCCTGAGACCCGAATTTGGGGCCTGAATCGTGGGAGGGCCTTTCAATTACCTAGGACCGGTCAGTTCGATGACCATATGTCAAGGTCGTTGCCCTTTTGTGAAAAAAAAGATGATTACCGCGTCATGATTTTTGATTTGACGCTCGACGAGAAACCCCAAGCACTCTTTTCTCGGCACATACAACTGAAAACTGGATGACACCGATAGGAAGTAAGGGGCCTGACTGTCCAGTCCATCGTACGGCAAACACGGAATGAAATTATTGTGCCCATCAACACAGTCAGCCACAAGAACGTCTCCCTGTTCATCATGTAGCGTGTTTCATAAAGTGGCAGGAATTTGGGTTTTGCCCAACAGTTGTGCTATTCTTGGCCTTTTCCTGCTCCTCTTTGTTTTGGCTGCTGGTTAGCCTTTTGTACATGACCTAGTCTGGGTATCTGATTGGGGTTCTGCTAATTGAAACAGTCAAATGAGAGACCGTGGAGACTGCCTTCTTACAAGGTGGTGGTTATGTGGATGACACTTTTGCAGGGCGTGGCAGAGGATGTCGTAAGGGATGTCTGGATACCCTTAGAAAAGATCAAAACAGGGGAGATTCGGCTCAAGATTGAAATACTTGGGTACGTGTTGCAGCATGATCAAATCGTGAGTTTGGCATGGAGGAGATCAAGTGCTTTCCGTGAACTTACTCCTCGGCTGTATTGTTGTGAATGGAGATGCATAATGGAAGATGACACTTGGCATAGCAGAAGAGAAAAAGGTGGGGTGCTAGACAGGACAAGGCAAAGTAAGAAGCATGAACAAGAGCACATTTGTAAAAGTATGTAAACTACCGGTTGAGGTTATGTGAATGTCACTGCTTCAGTATTTTACTCTTTAGTCTATTTTAGTATTTTGATAAAATTTCAGAAAAAACGAGTCCATTCCAGGGGAGGCGTGAAGATCCAGATGCAGTTGTGTAGAGCAGAGGAACACAGACACACTGGAGGGGTGGGAGAGAGAGAGAGAGAGAGAGAGAGATTTGATTCTCTGATTCATCTCTGGCAGAGAGAGAGAGAGAGAGAGAGAGAGAGAGAGAGATTTGATTCTCTGATTCATCTCTGGCATTGCAGGGTTGGGCAAGAGCACTCCAAAAGTGTAGCGCATGTGCCAAAGGAGCCAACACAACAAGAAGAGGAAGGTGAGAAACCCTCTTATTCAGAGTTGGTCATTCATAAATTTGCCTTGTAAGAAGTATCATTTCTTCGCCTCTGATGGCATACAAAAGCTCTGTGTGCCTCATTCCAACAAATTCCTGGACAGACAAGTCGCGTGTCTCATCTCTAGGCAAGTGTGTAGTCTTGGGATCAACAGGTGTGGAGTGCATGAACAAGTATGTACTCTGTAGAGTTGGAATAAACAGGTGTTGAGTGCATAGGGATCAACAGGTGTTCAGTTTTCCACATTTTGTGGCAGGATTTCTGTCGTCGTACTCATCTTTGGTTTGTTAGGTGCAGTTTACCTTTTTTTTATTAAGAAAAAGGGCGACGGCCTTGGAATATCATCGTGGAACTGACCAGCCCCAGGTGAGGTATTTGGTTTCACTCATCTAGTTCCATGTGGATTCAAACTCAGGTTTGTATTTCAACAGTTCATGGGTGTACCGACTGATCTAGGGGCGTTGGTTGTTCACCTTTTTAAGTTATCTCGGAATGTAAGAGCTTACTGCAGCTGCATTGATGATCATGATGTTATTGATGTTATTATTCAGGTGAGCTTCCTTACATGATTGCAGCTAAATTTATCCAGCAGTGAGATTGAATGGACACCAACAGACCAAGAAGAACGCACAGCACAAGAGCAAGAGTAGTTAACAACAATTGTTTATGGAAGACTTCATAACGTCCTGATTCACTGATAACAATTGATTAGCAAAGAGTCCAGTTTCCTCACCTGATCCAATCTCGCTTTCTCTTTGCACTCAACCCTGGACCAACTGTGACACTTGCAACGACTGTGTCTTGCAATGACCCACAGAGTTGCAGCCTGCTGTTGTGATTTGGGGAGATTTTGTAGTCCGCGAATGTTTTGCTATGTTACCTGTCTGTCCGAGAGTCTATGTGATGCTTGATGTGTCCATGAGCTCACTCCGCTGTTTTTTTCTGACCCGGGAGGGGTAGAACAGTAGAAGAGATGTACTAGTATTAGCTACAAGGGTAGGAGTCTGTAGGACTGTGGAAGCCAGAGGACAGCAATCACGTTCCCGCCAAAAGGCAAGAACTTTCGGTAGGTCCTAGTGCATGGTAGAGGACGAGAGTGCCCAGGCAGAGGCACTGGAGGCCGAGACTTGAGTATATCAGTCAGTGCAATCAGCAGTGGATGAGTCTACTGTCCCAGGTAATTGCCCGTGTGCACAATGGTTGCCCCTGGTTGTGAGGTATGGATGCTATGAATGCTTGGATGCTTGGTGACCTTTCTTTGTCTGATTCTGCACTACCTATGTTTTCTCACACTACTACAACTTACCGTACTTTCTAGGTCAGATTGCACAAGGTAGTCATTATTCAAGTTGTTTTCATGTTGTATGGATGCTCTTTGTTGTAGATTAGGTTAGGTGTGGCATGCATGGGCTGCCAAATAGGCCTCAGAGGATCCTGATCCCTCATTACGCACCTTTGTGTGGCAGTAGGGCCATGGATAATTTTTGGGGCCTCTCCTTCAGTCTGCTTGCAGGTAGAGGTCCTCCCCCCTCCTCCCCCCCAACCACCCCATCTCGCCCCCCCTTCTTTTTCTTTACGCAAAGGGCTTCGGTTGTAAGATATCATCTTTGGACTGACTGGGTCCAGCTGATTCCATCGGTATTCGAACTCAGGTCTGTATCTCAACAACATGGGTGTACCAACTGAGTTTATTGGGGTCCTACTTCGTTTTTCAGGTTCTTGTCTGTTTCAGATTTTCCCCTTCACACCATGGAAGAATGATGATGATGTATGTTCGGGGCTGCATTGCAATATTGATTGTTCGGATCATTGGTATCTAAGTCTTCCGCTACGCTATCTTGTACTTATTTGAAGGGTCGGTTCTTGTTCTGGCACCGTTACAGTATGCAACAGTTTGGTATCGGAGCGGACCTCTCATTCAGAGGACCTGCTCAATCAAGTAGCCAGCTTGCTTGATCTATTGATTACTCATTAGTAAATCAAGTAGGACTTCGTCAAATCTCTGAAAAAAAAATTCTCGCAACAAATACCTGAAAATCTCTGATATTAGTATTTCGTTTTCACGCAACAAATATCTGAAAATTTTTGATAATTGCATTTCGTTTTATCTGAAAATTCCTGATAGTAGCATTTCGTTTCTCTGATATTTCGCATACATAGCCGAAAATTTCTGATGTTATTATTTCGTTTTCTAAGCATATTAGGATAACGATAGAAGTGGTCATATTCTCGAAAACTGGATTTATTCTTTTCTGAAAATTGAATCTCCATTCTATCTCGCAAATTTTTTTTTGAAAACCGAAATCTTGCGAAGCCTACCAGCATTTCGTTAGGCATATTAGAAGGTTGCCATATTCTCAAAAACTAGATTTAGTTCTTTTCTGAAAATCGCATCTCAACTCTATTTCACAAAATTTTTTTTCAAGATCGCAATTTTGTGAAAGCCGAAACTTTGCGGAACCTAGCCTAGATCTTGCTCATAGTACTCTTCTGACATACCTCATCCATAACAGATCGACAGATATACAAAAAAAAAAAAAAAAAATCAGTCCTTTTTTTTATTGTTTTTTATTTATTTATTTGTTGATTAG